ATTATTATTATTATCATTATGTGTGCCTTTTTCTCAGATCGTTTATGTGTTTTAAAGTGTTTGACTGATAAACCTAGCATCCTATCAGGCAATAGTACATCACTAGCAAGGCAGCGACTTGATAGAGGAAAACCGCAAAGTTCCAATATTAAAGTTAGAAAGATCTTGTCTTGGGATTTGTTTGTAGGTTTCTTGGAGGGGAGAAAGCGAAAGAAGGTCCTGGGAATGAATTGCGGGGATTGGGGGGTGGGTGGGGGGTAACAGACAACAGTATTCTATGATATGATAAATAAAGAATAGCCAAGTCACTCTCACTTGTTCTAAACTTTCTTGGAATTTATACAGCAAAGTAACATTCTCCAAACTGTTATACTGTTTGACATTACATTTTTTTTTTTTTTTTTATTTTTTTTTTTTTTTTTTTTTTGCCCACTCTGTTTGCCCCTTAACTATAATAAATGAATAAATGTAGGTGTTGATATCATAATAACATTAACCATTTTAACTATGATAATGTAACAGTGGCAGCGAATCCCTGGGTCTACAATGCTGTGTTCACTTAAGGCCTTCAAAACTATCGGAAATTTCCTCAGTCTTAAGACTAGATTTAATGTCAACTTTTGATGTTAAAATATTATCTTCTTTTAAAAACATTTAAGCAAAGGGATATTCTTTGTAATTCATATTCTCTAATTTAGCACTAAATAGGTTACGTGGTTATACACAGATAATTGCAAATACCAGTTACGTGGTTATACACAGATAATTGCAAATACCAGAACAACGCATCATATTTAAACAAAAACATAACACTCAAAAAAAAAGAAGAAGAAAAACTCGCTGAGTTAGTGAGACTGAAATAAAATTTTGTTTGCTATTTTTGTTTGTTTTATTTGTTTTTTGTTTTGGCCTCAATCGCAATCTGTTGTGAGCACAATCAATCATGAAAAATAAATCAAAACAACATTAATTTCTTTTCATAGCTGTTTTGGTGGGGGGTTTTCATTTTGTTCGTAATTTGTTAACTCCTTCATTATTTATCATCAGCGATAACTTTTAATTTACCGTAGCTCAGTTGTTTAAAGAATTGGAAACTGTTTATTCTTTGCTTGTTTTATGTTTCTATCAAAATAACCTTATAGATTTGATCAGTTGTTGTTTCTAGCTACTGGGCCTCACTGACATTTCTGCATGAAAAGCATGATACAAACAGCAATAATCTGTTGTTTCTCTCTCTCACAAAAGCACGCAACTCTCAATTCCTCCCTTTTATAGATTTTGTTACCTATGTAGTTAGCTAAAGAGAAGATTCTCAGTAACACCCACGTTTTTCATGAGCAATGAGTATATGGAATGCCATACTTTTATATTTTTAGCTTTGACGTCACAATCATATTTTTGTTGACTTTTCCCCTCAACACACTCGCCCACTTTTCCAACATCCCCCATCCTTTTTTTTAAATTTTTTTGTTTTTAAAGCTTCAGCCACAACTAACAGCAATCTGCCACCACAACCCACAGCCACCCACCCCTCACTACCCCATACTACCCACCACTACCCACCCTCTTCCCACCACCACCCAC